CTGGGGCCTTCCTGGTGAGGGAATACTACTAATGGGAATCTTAACCAGCCCTTTCTATCCCAGTAATATAACTGATGTCAAAAACTGAACCCTACTTCAGACAAAGATTAGATAGGCCCATATAAAACAAAACGAGACTAAAGGGGCACACCAGCCCAGGGGCAAGGACGAGAAGGCCGTAAGGACAGGAAAGCGGATAATGAGGAACCCAAGGTCGAGAAGGGGAGAGTGTTGACATGTCTTGGTGTCTTAGTCATCTAGTGCTGCTACAACAGAAATACCACAAGTGGATGGCTTTAACAAAGAAAAATTTATTTCTTCACAGTAAAGTAGGCTAAAAGTCCAAATTCCAGGGGAAGGCTTTCTCTCTGTCGGCCATCTCATCAATGTTCCCCCAGACTAGGAGTGTCTTGGCTCAGGGACCACGGTCCAAAGGACGCGCTCTGCTCCTGGCACTGCTTTCTTGATGTTATGAGGTCCCCCATTCTCTGCTTGCTTCCCTTTCCTTTTATCTCTTGAGAGATAAAAGCTGGTGCAGGCCGCACCCCAGGGAAACTCCCTTTACATTGGATCAGGGATGTGACCTGGGTAAAGGTGGTGTTACAATCCCACCCTAATCTTCTTTAACATAAAATTACAATCACAAAATGGAGGCCAACCACAGAATTCTGGGAATCATGGCCCAGCCAAATAGATACACACATTTTTTGGGGGACATAATTCAAACCATGACACTTGGGGAGGCAACTAATGTCACAAAACAATATGTGTACTGATTGTTTAATGAGAAACTAGTTTGCTCTGTAAACCTTCATCTAAAGTACAATAAAAAAAAATAAAGCATAAGTTTTGGTTAAAAAACAACAGCAAAAAGAAATTGAACCCTAGGTCACTAGAAAATCAGGGAAATGACGTCAGAATCACAAAGAAAGGATGTGAGGTCTCAATTTAATATGAGATATTTTATTGACCTTTCAGGGCTGGGCACAGCATCTGGCATATAGCAGTCACTCAATAAATGGAGGGGGGATGGAGCGATGGAAGATAAGGCCTTCTCCAGTGATGCTAAGGACAAGGAGGCAAAGAGAACTGGGACTGAGTCTTGATCTACACACACACTAGCAAGGTGACCTAGGCAAAGTTGTAAGCCTCATTTTCTTCCTGTGTAAAATGGAGATGATACTTCACAGGGTTGTTGTGAGGTTTAAATCAGAAAATGCTTAGTTAGTGCCTACCACATTGTTGTTGTTAGGTGCTGCCCAGTGGATTCCAACTCACAGGGACCCTATAGGACAGAGTAGAATTGCCCCATAGGGTTTCCAAGGAGCAGCTAGTGGATTTGAACTGCTGACCTTTTGGTTACCAGGGCTTAACTGCTATTCCACCAGGGCCCCTGCCTAGCACATAGAAAGATGCAATAAACATCAGCTATTATTATTATTAATATTGTGATCATATCCTCTATTCCAAACACATCTCTGAGGAAGAGAGAGGCTCCTGAGTTAAGAGGCCTGAAGGTGGGAAATCCACATAGCCTTACAGAGCTGTAGGCATCTGCGGGACTCTAAGCATCATCCCTATCTCATTTCCTGAGAGTGAGAACTCTTTCTTCTGGGACCTGGGGTGAGGCTGCCGGCTTTAGGTTAGGCCGGTTGGTAAGTGGGCTCTGCCGGTTTCTCTGCAGTTTGGCCCTAATTTTATTTCAGCTTCCTTTGCACTGAGATGCGATAGGGTCTTGTCTTGTACAGTTGGGAGAGATGGACCTGGCCTCATCTGCAGGTGGGGACACTGTCGCTGTGGTTTGCCCTTCTGCAGGTGAGAAAGCAGTGGTCAAACATAGTGGACGGCTCAGCGCAGTCTGTATGTTCTCGAGGAAAGCCCTGGAATCGCCCTGCCAGACCTGTACAGCATCTGTACAGCGAACCTTATTATTGACTGTAGCTGCCTTTCACATGATGTGGGAAATGAGAGATTTGTCAGGCAACCCAGGGGGGATTCTTTTTTCTCCAAATGACCGTTCTGGTTTAGGAGAACTTTCTAGTGTTAGATTTCCGTTGTGCTTTTTGACCTAGTAACTGCGATCGTCTTCTCTTTGTATAGCTAAAATTGATGCGGAGAAGGAAAATATTAGGGGAAGTGTGAGCCTATTAGCGTGTATTTTGTGAAGTCAGTCGTCTAGGGAACCATCAAAAATTGACCACTGGGCCAAAGAAATGCATGCAACTTTGAGAACATGGGAGGGGAACGTGCCTTCTGCAAAGTAAGGTTACAATTATTGTTTATAAAAAGCGGAGGGGAAGGGAATGAGCCCAGCCAACAAGAGCTCATTTTCTCAGTTGAAAAGAGGCCTAATCGTCCCTGATCCTTTCCGTATTAAGGTTTTCTTTGGAAGACTTCAGAAAGCAACTTGAAGACTCCCCTGCATTCCTCGGGTTGCCCGAAGCCAAACCCCTGGCGGGGGCGGGGGGGACAAGGGGGAGAGGGCTGCTTTCGGGCAGTCCCACTGAGAAAAAAGACGTTTACTTAATGGCACAGAATTCTGACTTAAAAATAGAGAGTTAGCAGAGGCAAAATTAACAAAAAACCTTCAAGAAACTATGCGCCCTCCTACCCCGCGTTCATTTCCAAAGGCAGCCGAATGTCTACATGTTGAGCAGCCCAGGCCAATTCATGCCCGTCTCGTACCGGTCTCATCTTTTTTAAGTGACTCTTTCTCCGAAGAAAATGAACACGAAAATTAACCCCACCGAGAGAGAAAGAAAAACAAAATACATTATCAGCTTGGCATTGCCTGCCTCTCCCTAAACGGCGCGAGGATGCGGCTATTGAGGGTTTAGGGGTGATTTCTTCAATATTTTCGTTCTAAAAAAGCCCTCTTCGGAGGGCTCTTTACTTTATTTCCCTCCCAATTTCCCCGGGTAGAGACAGTCGTCGGCGTTATAAGCCGCGTTTGTGGCCACCAGAGACGGAAATCGCTAATTGTCAAGTCCTCTTTGAACTCCCTTTGCCATTTGGCCAGTGACACTTGAGACTCTGGAATCCGCGCTTTCCCAAACTGGACGAGACCAGCGCGTCCACCGCCTGCGGGTCTGCGGCTAACATATACACGCCGAGGTCTGGATAAGACTTTTAAACTTTTCTTTCCAGACTCCTACAGATTGTAAAGCAGCGTGCTGAGCAGGTAAACCGTTGCAAGCTAACATGTGCCCTAGCTCAAAATTGGGGCGAGAGTGTGGAAATCAACTTTTTAAAAATTTCCACGTCTCCCCTTCTTCCCTTTCCTCTTTGGACTCGTTTGTGAGAAATAGAGTTTTCTTTCTCTTTGCTGAGACTATAATGTGATTTGGCATAGTTTGTGAAATGAACAAAAGTCACCGGCAAGCGGGCCGACGGGGACAGAGCTCTGATGGCAGACCGGGGGTGTGATCAAAGGCCAGCCTCCGAGGATAATGGGGAGTCAGGGCCCGCCCCGCTTAGTCTCCACGGTCGCCTTCATCTTCCAGGTAAAATGAATGTGCCTTCATCCATCATCCGCAGCGAGCCCCTTCCCCCGGTGAGTGGAGAATCTGCTTTCTGATGAAACCTATTAGCCCCGGACTGGGCGTCTTTGTGGAGCCGACCGAGGCTTTCCATTGTAGTCTTTGTTCGCGGAATTTATCCATTTACATAACGCATTAGCACCAACCGCGGAGCTAGAGTTGGGAGACCGCGTGCCGAGCCTGGCGGGACCGACGCGTCAGCAGCTTCCCCACCAGGCTGCTCCCGGTACAACTCTCGCGGATGCACCTGGGTCGCGCTACGGGAGCTTAGAAGGAGCTAAGCGTGGGAGTCCTGGTGTGCGCGGCGCCGGCCTCCAGCCGTATCCTAGTGCCCTGCCTGCCTTGGCAATCTCTGGGCGGCTGCGATTTAAAAGAAAGAGGCAAAGTTTCACTGGGTGAACCGGGGCTGGTTTAATAAGACCCTGAAGCCAGACAAACGACATTAATCTTGCTTTCCAGGCGGCCGTTGGGGGCTTCGCCGTTTTTCATGCTGACCGTTGGTGGCCGCGCGCCCAACGGCCACTGGTGCCTCAGAGCGCGGAGGAGCCTAGGGTTCCATCAAAGGCGCGCCGGACCCTGTCCGCAGGGCGCGATCCCTCCCGCGCGCCGGCAGAAGGAAAGCGGGATTCTTGGCATTTAAAGGGGAGGGGCATCCGTGGTGTGCGGAGCTCCGGCTCTAAGGAGCTTACGAGGGAATCCGCAGGCTCCCGAGAAGCGCACATTTCGCAAAGTAAATGCAAACATTTTAGTAAGGCAAGGTCTCGAGCTCCAAGTCAGAAATCTCGCCTTAGGGAACCTTTCCCCGAAAATGATACCAAAGTGCCGGGAGAGCTCCCCGTCCAGGCAGGTGCAGGACATTTTGCGCGCCCACACCTTTAGCCTCGACTCCCTTAGACTTATAAATCAGTCTTTAGTGCTTGGATCTGGAGTGCAAGCAGGAGCCAGCGGCAGGAAGGAGTCACCATGCAGAACCCGAGAGCGGGAGGCGGCCAGCCGCCTTCCAAAGAGTTCACAGTCCCGCACCCCGCGCTTCGCGGCGCTCGCCCCCTCGCCCAATCAGCGCGCTCTCCGTGTCTGTGACGGCATTCGGCTCCGCCTCCTTGACGGTGATAAAAGGCCGCAGCGAAGGCGGCGCCCAGAGCCTCGCGTGTGGCCCCTGCGCTTCCGCCTGGTATCCAGGTGCGCTCCTCCCCGGGCTTCTCGGAGCGCTGGTGCCACTGTCCACGCTGTCGGCCGCCGCCAGGTTCTCCTCCTCCTCCGTCCCCAGCGCGGCGCGGCTGAGCCAGTCACCAAACTTCTCCCTTCTTTCTCTCCCTCCCTCCTCGGCTGTCGCCGTCCCCCACGGCGCTGGGCCGCCAGCTGCTGGAGAGCGGCGGCTCAGCGCCCTGTCTGGCGAGCTCACCGTGCCGGACCTGGCCCGTGTCGGCGCGGCGGCGACCCCCTAAGAGTCCCTCTTCCTTGCAGGATGAAGAACCCAATGCTGGAGGTAGTGTCCCTTCTGCTGGAGAAGCTACTTCTCATCTCCAACCTCAAGCTCTTCAGTGTGGGCCCTCCCGTTGACAAAGCAAAGAGCAGTTTTTATGAGATTAACTCTTTTCTCCGCGGAGACGTGCTGGAGGTGCCCCGGGTCCACCTGACCCACTATGGTATCTACTTGGGTGACAACCGTGTCGCCCACGTGATGCCCGACATCCTGTTGGCACTGACCGACAACCAGGGGCTCACGCAGAAGGTGGTATCCAACAAGCGTCTCATTTTGGGCGTGATTAGTAAGGTGGCCAGCATCCGCGTGGACACGGTGGAGGACTTCGCCTACGGAGCCAACATCCTGGTCAACCACCTGGACAAGTCCCTCCAGAAGAAGGCGCTGGTCAACGAGGAGGTGGCGCGGAGAGCGGAGAAGCTGCTGGGCATGACCACCTACAGTATGCTGTGGAACAACTGCGAGCACTTCGTGACCTACTGCAGATACGGCACGCGGATCAGCCCCCAGGCCGACAAGGTACCGCACGTGACTCGCTGGGAAGATGGGCTGGCTGGGGACACCTCTCTCCCAACCCCTTCCCCCCAACCAGGGATCTTCTTCCTGACCACCTCCCCCATTACTTCCACACCATTCTTAAAGTTCTAGATTAAGTAACGAAAGGTCTGGTGCTAAGGGAGATCCAAAAATCAATAAATGGCAATGTGCCTTGCAGTATACCTGGAAGTGCAGCTGAAGGGTGTGGCAATGCAGTACCGCTCCCAGTGACTCCAGAGAGCTGCCCAGTTATTGCTGCGGAAGTCATCTGGGTGTCTACGCACAACGTAGTTCAAATGACAAAGGGAAGGTGATTAGGAGTCACAGGAATTCTGTCCTGTGTGCTTGCAACTTTTTCCAAAAATTACAATTGGGAGGAAGATGTCCAGCGTTTATATTTAATCCATAACACTATGTACAAATTGCTGTGCTTTTAGAATAAGGAAGCATGCGGTTTTCTCCCTCTGTAAACTACATGGAGTGAATTCTTTTTGCTTAATATAAACACTATCAAAATTCCCATTAAGATGTTACTGATTTTCCCAGGTATTCTGAATTCTTTTTGTGTTGGTTTTAATCCCCGTCTAGATTGTTGCTCATTGTTATATCCTTTACCCATTAGCTCCACAAGTGGTTAGATAGTTGCTGGGTTCCTTAGAGATCAAAACAATTGACTTTCAGGAAGAGCTATTAACTGTTGGAAGGTAAATTTTATGGGTACTTTGAAAAGACAGTATTAGAATTTAAGATCATTCAATTAGCCACAAATCCAAAGAAAATAGATATTTATTTCCTTTGAAATCACTTTTAAAAATAGTTAGCATTTTAATTGGAAGCTTTCTCAGCCTTCACTGCAGTTGTTAAGAAGTATCATTAGTGTTCATTCTTCATAATAGAAATCTGGGTAATCACATAATGAGCTTTTAGTGTTAGTCTCCATGTTTAGATTTTTTTTTCCAGCCAAAAGAATCTGAGTCCAAGTTACCAGTTTTTAATTGCTCCACATCTTGATTATTTTTTCACCCACATAAGAAAATTCATCTCTCTCATCTGTGGCGGAGCATGGAGGTAGTATGCTTTTTACACACCAGTATATGAAACTCCTTATAGGTTTTACAGAGCCACAACAGACTCAATCTAGGAAGAGTCTGGCATCTTTTCCAAGTAAAATAAAAATACAGTTAGAGCACTGTGCAATGATTGGGGCCTGTTTAAAAATGGACTTCACCACATTCACAAACACTGACTCCAGAAGTGTACAAAAGGAAACAGGTCAGATTTACTTAGGAACCAAGCAAATCATGGCTCTAAGGAAAAATAGTCTTTCTATCCGGTACTTAGGAGTTGCCCTTTTATGGAACACATACAGCACTGTATTATATATTTGTACAGAAAAACAGTTACAAGTACTTTTTTAAATGTAATAAAATATTTCATCTGCATAAATAACCAATTGGCATAGCTTTTCATCTTTGAAACTTGGTCAGGTTTTGCAAAAGTAGAGAAGTGTTTTCATTGCAGTTGCTGCATAGCACCTCCTGTGAAACTAAGGTTTTTGTCTTCACTTTGAATGGACTAACAAACGATTTGGTCACAGAGTAGATTTCCCAGGTGGGGGTGGAGAACCCCATCCCAATTTTTCCAATTCTAAGAACAATTTTTTGAGCATGGCTGAGAAAAGTAGGTCATTAATACTGAAGGAGTTCTGGTTTATACTCTTCAGAAACATAAGCAATTATTTGATTCAGGGTCTAATTGTTGAATTCGCCATCCATACAAGTATTACCTACTTAACATAAGCATTACAAAGTTGTCTCTTAAGCTTACATTTGAGTTTGTAAAAACTCAAAAATAATTTCCCTCAGGAAACCACTACAATTAATTTGAAAATGAACCAGAAATTTTACCTTTTACTTCTTTGTGTTAATTCTCTTTTTTACAAGTTTACAAACTATAAAATTGATTTTTATATTGCCGCTGACAATCTGTCATTATTTTGTGAACTATAAATCCTTTTAAATAGTAACTATTACAAATCCTTATGGTCTTTCTACTATATATTTTTTACCTTGCTAATTTTGCTTTTCATTGCCAAAAATGAATGCAAATAGCCCCTTGTTCTATCAGGATTCATTGCTCTCTAAAGTGCTTCTACAGGCAGCTTAGCACCTCCTAGACATGCAAAACATCCCCCCTACTGTTGAGCACCACCAGAAATGCCTCCTGGAATGACGGCCTAGTGAACAAGAACAGGACATTTGAAAAAAGGTTCCTCTTGAGAAAATCTGCTCTTGGGGGAAGAAAGTCCACAATGACTATTTGCTTTAATTAAAAATTATTGGGAAGAATAGAAAACAAGCGTAACTGTATCAAGTCAGCTTACTCATTTACCAAAATGTATATCTCCCATTGTTTGCCAGGCTCTTTCCTCACTGTCCTGAAAACTTCATTCAGTTTGATACTCACCACTTACTTCCTTGTTTAGTGAGAAAAGGCAAATCATTTTATATTTGATATATCAGTAGGCCAACATCTGGAGAACTAACAGGATGGTTCACATTTGTTTATGTATTTAACCTTACTGTCAAGATAGTGAGCCTTGGTGGTGCACTGGTTAACCATTCGGCTGCTAACAGAAAGGTCAGCAGTTCAAACTCACCAGCACTCCGTGGGAGAAAGATGCCAGTCTGCTTCTGTAAAGATTATAGCCTTAGAAACCAGTGGGGCAGTTCTACTCTGTCCTATAGGGTTGCTGTGAGTTGGAGTCGACTTGGCGGCAATGGGCTTTTTTTGGGGTGGGTCAAAATAGTGTGTTAAAATATATTGGACTCATTCATTCTATCTATTAAGAATTTTAAAACCCAAATATACAAAGCCACAGCCAACATCATTCCCAATGGAGAGAAACTGAAAGCATTCCCCTTGAGAAAGGGAACAAGACAAGGATGCCTTTTATCACCACTCCCATTTAACATTGTCCTGGAAGTCCTAGCTAGAGCAATAAGACAAGAAAAAGAAATAAAGGGCATCTAAATTGGAAAGGAAAAGTAAAACCATCCCTATTTGCAGATGATACAATATTTTACATAGAGAGCTGCGAAGATTCCATAGGAAAATTACTGGAACTAATAGATTCAGTAGAGTAGCAGGATACAAGATCAGCATACAAAAATCAGTTAGATTCCAATACACCAACAAAGAGAACTTCGAAGAGGAAATCACCAAATCAATACCATTTATAATAGCCCCTAAAAAGATAAAATACTTAGGAATCAATCTAACCAGGGACATAAAAGAAAACCACAAAACATTATTGCAAGAAACCAAAGAGACCTACATAAATGTAAAAACATAACATGCTCATGGATAGGAAGACTCAAAATTGTGAAAATGTCAATCCTACCCAAAGCAATCTACAAATATAATGCAATCGTGATCCAAATACCAACAGCATTCCTTAACAAGACAGGAAAACTAATCACCAACTTTTATGGAGAGGAAAGAGGCCCTGGGTAAGCAAAGCATTATTAAAGACAAAGAACAAAGTAGGAGGCCTCACACTGCCTGATCTCAGAGCCTACTATATGCCAAGGTAGTCAGAACAGCCTGGTACTGGTACAACAACAGACACATAGACCAATGGAACAGAATCTAGAACCCAGACGTAAATCTATCCACCTGTGGTCACCTGATCTTTGACAAAGGACCAAAGTCCATTAAATGGGGAAAAGACAGTCTTTTTAACAAATAGTGCTGGCAAAACTGGATGTCCATCTGTAAAAAAATGAAACAGGACCCATACCTCATGCCACACACAAATACCAACTCTAAATGGATCAAATACCTAAATATAAAACCTAAAACAATAAAAATCATGGAAGAAAAAATAGTGACAACACTAGGGACCCAATACATGGCATAAAGAGAATACAGACCATAACTAACATTGCACAAACACCAGAAGATAAACTAGATAACTGGGAGCGCCTAAAAATAAAACACTTATGCTTATCAAAGACTTCACCAACAGAGTAAAAAGAAAATCTAAACCAAAAAAACCCCAAAACTGTTGCTGTTGAGTCAATTCCGTCTAATAGCAACCCTATAGGTCAGCGTAGAACTGCCTCATAGGGTTTCCAAGGAGCAACTGGTAGACTTGAACTGCTGACCTTTTGGTTAGCAGCCGTAGCTCTTAACCACTGCACCAAAAAGAAAAGCCACAGACTGGGAAAATAGTTTTGGCTACGTCATATCCAACAAGGGTTGGATCTCCAAAATCTGTAGAATACTTCAACACCTTAACAACAAAGAGACAAGTAACCCAATTAAAAAATGGGCAAAGAATGTGAACAGACACTTCACCAAAGAAGACATTCAGGTGGCTAACAGACACATGAGGAAATGCTTGCAATCTTTAGCCACTAGAGAAATGCAAATCAAAACTACAAGGAGATATCATCCCTCCCCAACATTACTGGCACTAATCAAAAGTGTTGGAGAGGTTGCGGGAAGATTGGAACTCTTATGCACTGCTGCTGTGAATGTAAAATGGTACAACCCTATGGATAACGATATAACTCCTCCTTAAAAAACTAGAAGAAATACCATATGATCTAGCAATCCCACTCCTAGGTATATATCCTAGAGAAATAAGAGCCATCACACCTTTCAGGCAAAGATTAGACAGACCTATAAAACAAACAATAGCACATGTGAGGAACATGTTTCTTAGCTCCATTAAGTATAGGAGACCAAATGGGCAACACCCGCCAAAGCAAAGATGAGAAGGCAGGAAGGGACAGGAAAACTGAGGGGATGGACACGGAGAACCCAGGGTGGAAAGGGAAAAGGGGAGAGTGCTGACACATTGCGGGGATTGCAACCAATGTCACAAAACAATTTTTGTATAAAATTTTTGAATGAAAATCTAATCTCACAGTAAACTTTCACCTAAAACACAATAAAATAAAATAATTTTAAAACCTAGCTGTCCAGTGGAGCCCTGGTGGCATAGTGGTTAAAGAGCTCAACTGCTACCCAAAAAGTCGGCCGTTCAAATCTACCAACTGCTCCTTGGCCCTGTAGGGTCGCTATGAGTCGTATAAACCACTCTTTTAGACTAAAAGCGTATACAATGTTATGTCTAATAAAGGAATTCATAACAACTATGACTAGCAAAACTCATATAAAAATTAAATCATTAATTGCTGAATTCTGGTACTGACAGAGATGAGGTAGGGATAATTGTGGGTGGATATAGCAGTAATGATAATATTGTAATACTTCATATTTATACAGCATGTAGAAGAATATAGGGTTCTTTTGCATAAAATATCTCATTTGATTCTCAGAACAACCTTGGTGTTCCTACGGAAGAGGAGGAGAGGGTAATCTGGAGAGGTTAAGTGAATTGCTTGAGATCACACAGTGAATAAGAGATAGAGCCGGGACTCAAACATAGGCCATCAACTTCTGAGTAAAAGTATTTTTCTAAGAAAAAAATTACACATATTAGAAGAATGCATTCCAAAGGGGTTGTTGTTGTTAGGTGCCCTCGAATTGGTTCCGACTCGTAACGACCCTGTGTACAACAGAACAAAACACTGCCCAGTCTTGTGCCATCCTCACAATCTTTGCCAAGTTTGAGCCCATTGTTGCAGCCACTGTGTCAATCCATCTCCTTGAGGGTCTTCCTCTTTTTCGCTGACCCTCTGCTTTACCAAGCAAGATGTCCTTCTCCAGAGACTGATCCCTCCTGATAACATGTCCAAAGTATGTGAGACGAAGTCTTGCCATCCTCCCTTCTAAAGAGCTTCCTGGCTGTGTTTCTTTCAAGACAGATTTGTTTGTTCTTCTGGTAGTCCATGGTATACTCAATATTCTTCGTCAACACCATAATTCAAAAGCATTAATTCTCTTTAATCTTTGTTATTCATGGTCCAGCTTTCACATGCATATGAGGCTAATGAAAACACCATGGCTTGGGTCAGGCACACCTTAGTCCTCAAAGTGACATCTTTGCTTTTTAACACTTTACAGAGATCTTCTGCGGCAGATTTCTCCAATGCAATAATTGTTTGATTTCCTGATTGCTGCTTCCATGGGGGTTGATTGTGTATCCAAGTAAAATGAAATCCTTGACAACTTCAGTCTTTTCTCCATTTATCATCATGTTGCCTATTTGTCCAGTTGTGAGGATTTTTGTTTTCTTTATGTTGAGGTGTAATCCGTACCCTTAGGGATAGGGACCGTATTTAGTCTATCTTTATTTTCAGGGGCCAATTATGTGTCACATAGTTGATGATGAATTGTTTAATTTATTAAGGCTGTGAATGTGCTATAACAACAAAATTAGACTTTTTATGCTGTTAGATTTTGAGAAAGTTTTTGTTGAAATCAACAAATTTTAGAATGGTGAATTGGAGGAATCAAATTTGCTACTAAATTCTATTCCTTTTACTCATGATTAGAGACCTCTTTGCTCATCTAGTTTTAGAATCTGTCATTCCTATTGAGAAGCAGGTAAATACTGTTTTTAACCTTTAATCCTGAATAATTTCTACGTGGTTACATTATTCTCTATACTCTTCGGTAAAAGTTCTGTATTTACAAAGGCAGCTGCCCATGATGAGCCTGGTTGCCTGCGGTGTTATTTTAGCAATAAAAGAATTTATCAGAATGGCTACTGTGGCATGTGGAATCAAGAGACTGTATTACTAACATCTTTCTTTTATAAGTCATAGGGGACATTCTAGTTCTCCTGCTAGACAGAATATACCTGGGAAATCTGTGCTTTACTATTTGGTATATGTGATTCTTCTGAGGTTTAGCCACTTTCTCTAATATTCTTTAATTTTATTTTTCAGTTTTGTGAGAATGTGAAGATAATTATTCGTGATCAGAGAAGTGTTCTTGCTTCAGCAATCTTGGGATTGGCATCTATAGCCTGCCTGGGCCTAGCATCATATACTACCCTTCCTGCAATTTTCATTCCATTCTGTTTATGGATGGCAGGTTAACTTCACACCCCCGTGTCAATGTGTGTATTCTCTGTGTAAATATGTTTATAGAGTACAAATCACTATAAGCATTGTTGAGAAAAATGTGACCTGTAGTACTGTGTTCTGGATAAAAATGTGATTAAGAATCACGCAAAGTGCTTGCTGTGTGAGCCCAAGAAAAAAGACTTGCTGAATCTTCTCAGAGAGTTCAGTTTTAAAGCACCTCCCAAGCCTTGGAAATGTGACGGTTTGTGGTAGAATTCAGCAGTACAAGAAAGAAAACTAGCCCCTAAGATGATGGCCACAGGAGACCCTCTGTGTTATTTTCCTCTCTTGTAATCACTGTTAGGCTCTGTTTGAAGTTTGAAAGACTTATCAGATTAGGTCACTAACCTCATTGTAAATTTATCCTGTTTCATTGAAAAAGATTATATTAAACTCAAAGACTTAACCTTTATTCAGATGAAAATATGTTTGATGATTGACAACAACAAAAAAAAATCACAATCTTTTTATTATGTAATATACATATCCCCAATAAACCAAGAATATTTTATTTGCATTACTTTAAACTAATATTGGCAAAGTTAAGATTTAATGATGAAGTCATCAGCCAGAAATTATAGAAATCTTCTGTTTTCCTGCAGAAATAGCTACTATAGCACCACATTATTTTTTTCCCTTTTATGTGACACTGTGGTTCATTAAAATCACTATGGGAGATACACAGATACAGGATTAAAGTAATTTGGATATTTGGTGTGTGTGTGTGGCAAAATAATATGCAGATATCTACAGACACAGACTGATGAGAGTCAAGTTTGCTTTGATTGCTCTATTAAGATACTAGTACAGTTATTATAGAACATCTGTAGAAGTAAATGGCAAAGCAAGTTAAATCCATTTTTTATGCCTTTGAATCTTTGGTATAACTTGCATGTATGTCATTGGATGTTGTCTCTTTTAAAGCTTTTACTAATGTACTATGTAATTTTTTTAGATCCTCAGATTTGTTTCCTAGTCAGGTTTTTCATTCATTTCTAAGTAAGTATAGATTATTTCCCTAAAAGAAGGATACAACAGCAGTGTATAAAATCCAGAAAAGTAGGAATGAAGGAAATAACTATTTAAAATCATTTTTTTAATGTCTTAGTACACCCAGGTATGTAAATTGATTACACTGAAGAGTGTAATAGAGTGAGAGTTGAGATGTTACAGAGTTAAAACAAACATCTAAGTAATTTTGCAAAATTACCAAATTCTAAAACTTAAGCCAAAAGCTAGACTTGCATTTCAGGTATTAAAATTGCTTTATAAACTATCAAGAAGCACAAAACAGGATGACTGGGTGCTCAGTCAGTGATCCAATCCAAATAGATTTAAAAAGCAGATTTCGTATAATTGAGGTTTCATCACCACCAACTTACCCACAACAAATTCATTTAGAGTTTATTAATAATTTAACTTTCAATGGTTAATTATTTAGCTTATATAAATGTTTAGTTATTAAAATGTTTTAAGTACTTAAAAGATTAAATGGTAACACCATAGAATATAGGTGGTCTATGGGCTTATTCCAACCACTTAAAATAATCTTAAGTCTTTATACATAAAACCAACCACTATCAAGACTATTGTGTTAGTGGTTTTTCACTTATTGTATATTACCCTTGTAACAATTGTTTAAATAAATTGTTTTAAATATGGTGTCCTCATAAATAATTAACATCTTTTTTGCAGACAGTATTGCAGGCAGCAAAAACCACTGCCTCATGTTAAATCTGAGTTCAAAGATATTGATTAAATGCCAAGGATGTTCTTAAGGTTGGAATTAACATAACTGTCTTGACTTAACTTGATATGTTAAAGCAAGATTCAGTTCGTCATTCATTTACTGACTGTTCCTTACATGCTGGATCCTGCCCTGTCACCATTTCACTGTCTAGAATTAATATTATTTTTTAAACTACCTATTATAGAGTGTATACAGTGCTATGGGAATACAGGTGAAGAAGCAATTAAATCTGCCCAAGGGGCTAGGGAAATTGTATGAGGAGATCTTATCCACTGATGTGTTCCATCTCTTACGGGAAGAGGGAGCTGGAAGAAAGGATTTATTTATCAAATGTTCAGCAATGCTAGAGTTTGTTGAACTTCTTAGGGAAAAGAGGGATTTTGTTTTGTTGTACTCAATTTGATTAGTTGCTTAACAAGGTAAAAAGAGAAGCATACATTTCTGACTGTGGTTATGGAAGAAACCCTGAGCCACTAAGGTGTCTCAAAACTTGAGGCAGTTCACAAATCTCTCAAGGTCTCATCAGTTAAGATTCATCCTTATGATCTTGAAATGTATTTTTAAATTTCTATTATTCTAACTATAGTGATAATCAGATAGTATCTGATGGAGCTTTTTGTTGCTTTTTTTTTTTTTTTTGCTATCCTTAGACAGAGGTCAGATCAGGACTAGCTGGGGCTAAGATGAGTTAATTTAAGTGTCACGTATTAGGTAGATGTTGGGGATAAAAAGATGAATGAGACATGGACCCTTTCCTCAAAGCTCATGGCTATAATAGAAGACACATGGAAGGGGCAAGACTTCCTGCAATTCACGTCTGTATAGGGCTGTTTGAAAGCGCGAAGAAAGAAGGGGTTGGTTTTAAGTGGGTTACAAAAGGCCATAATTACAGAGACCATATAGTGAGACTCAAAAGATGAATATATGTTTTCCAGGGGGACAGATAACAGGCAGGACATTCTAGGCAGTGGGCACAGCATGAGCAAATGCATGAAAACTGCCCACAACATGCCTGGCGTTTAGGCGTAAGGTACTCTTTGTTGCCTGAAAGCATGAAACTGCATGAGGACATTCAGGAAAGTGCAAGTGGTTTCGAGGCTAGAGCAGAGGAAGAGTGGTGAGAGAAATGGATTGGAAAAAGAAAGCAATGGGTAGGTGGTGCAAGGGTTGTGTAGACCAAGAAGTTTGGACTTTATGAATAGGCAATGGAGATTTGCGGTTCAGGAAGGTAACTCCCAGAAGTATGGAGGAAGAATAGGAGCCTGGGGCAAGATGGGACAAGGGGACCTATCAGGGGACTAGCCATGCTCCTCAGGCCCTCAAATAAGGTGGACATCAAACACATGAAGAAAGTGTCAACAGACTTTAGCCAAATCCTTATATTTGACTCACAAATAATTCTTAGTGGTGGATGAGAGAAGTCATCCACCCTTGTTTCTTGACAGAAAGTTGAGTCCTGCAAAATAAATTAACTTGATGACTTGTGTGTATATCGGATATTTCTGATCTTTGCTCTGTTAGATATGTTTCATTCTAAGGACAAGAGAATAAGTATGGATTTATTATTTTAAAAAGTTTTTTTTTTCAGAATATGGATGTATTTCTTATTTTTCCATTTTCTATTTCATAATATTGCTGTCAAATATTAGAAATGTTTTCCAGCAATATCAAAGTTATTAAATGATAAAAGTCTTTTGATATAGATGAGAAGCATATAAGAAATGCTTACCTGTCTTTGTTTTATAATGTGATCTATTTAGAGAGCTTTATACAAACGCAGATCTGTCAGCTCCACTAATTTCATATTTGATATACGAGCAAGTCAAATAAAATCAATTTTGCATATTGTCTTCTTTTGTCTTTGAATTTGAAATACATAAAGCAGGCCACAGTTTCTTGAGCATGACAGCCTGAAGATTTTTGCCTTTCAAAGCTTCCTTTACTGAACATAGTTTTATATATTTGAAATTAAAACCTTATGCGAATCTGTCTTTAGACTCATATAATCTCTGTTGTCTACATCTTGAAGTCTACCTTGATTATGCCAAATCAGGGCTTGTGTAGTATCAAACAACAAATCCCTTCTCCATTCCACTAAACTGAACCATGGACACAAATGCCCTTATAACCAGGAGTGTTATGCCAGCCAAGGCAGCCTGCAGCTTTACTCTGGCCACTGGTGGGGTGGGTTGGGGATGAGGTGTGAGTGGGAGCGAGTCCCAGAGCCAGTGCTGTAATACATTCACAGCGTTACAGAGGACCACAGAGATTGCTTGGCCTGACCATTTAATACTAAACTGCATTTTACAGATATGGAAAATCAGGCACAAAAAGGCTAAGGTACTTTGTGATTACACAAAGAGTCTGTCATATGCAAAAATTAACTCAAAATGGATCAATGACCTCAATATCAGAGTTAAAGTCATAAAACTCTTTGAAGAAAAAAAAACCTATTGCCTTCGAGTCAATTCCAACAAATAGCTACCCTATAGGACAGAGTAGAACTGTCCCATAGTGTTTCCAAGGAGCGCCTGGTGGATTCAAACTGCGGACCTTTTGGTTAGCAGCCATAGCTGTAAACCACTATGCTACCAGGGTTTCCCTTAGAAGAAACCATAGGTGTAAATCTTCATGAATTTGGATTTGGCAATAGATTCTTATATGTGACAACAAAAACAAGCAACCAAAGAGAAAAAAAGAAATAGGACTTTATGAAAATTAAAAACTTGTACATCACAGGGTATTATCAAGAAAGTGGAAAGACAACTTACAGAATGGTAGAAAATATCTTCAAATCATATATCTGATAAGGAAGTAATATCCAGAATATGTAAAGAACACAACAACCTAGCAAAGGACTTGGATAGTTCTTCAAAGAAGATATACAAATGGCTAATAAGCACATGAAAAGATGCTCAACATCACTAGCCTCTAGAGAAATGCAAATCAAAACCACAATGAGAAACCACTTCACCCCCACTGGGATGGCTATAATTTTAAAAAAATAAGGAAAAGAGCATAAGTACTGACAAGGATGTGGAGAAATTGGAACCCTCTTCCATTGCTGGTGGGAATGTAAAATGGTTTTGCCACTGTGGAAAACAGTTCAGTGATTTCTCAAAGAGTTAAACAGATTTACCATATGCCCCAGTAATTTTATTCCTAAGTATATGCCTAAAAGAATTGAAAACAGATACTCAAATACATGAATACACGTGTTCATAGCAGCACTATTCACAATAGTCAATAGGTAGAAACAACCCAAATGCCCATCTACATAAACAAAATGTGGCATATTCAATATAATGAAATATTAAATTACTGATTCATGCTACAGTGTGAATGAACCTTGAAAACATTATGGTAAGTGAAATAAACTAAACACAAAAGGCCACATATTGTACAAATCCATTTATATGAAATGCTCTTAATAGGCAAATCCATAGATAAGGTATATATGAATTTAATAGGCAAACCCATACATACAAATCCATATATAAGGTCACCATGAGTTGGAGTCAGTCAACTTGAGGGCAGTTAACAACAACAACAACAAGAGAAGAGTCAGATTGTGGTTGAGATATAAATGGAAAATGAATGTGGACTTCTTTTCATAGACGTTTGGTGGGGAAAAAAAGGAAAGAGATAAAGCCCAAGGACTCAAAACAGTATAATAACTGACATCTCTGTTTTCACTTCATTCACTGGAATGAAACATATTGTGATTGATTTATGCTTCATTCAGGAAATTGAAGTATCACAAGTTAATTTTCACAATTCTTAGGGAAAACATTCTTTTTATGATAGTGTCAGAACTGCACTTTTCTTTCAGATTGCTATCAGAGATTCACTCAAATTAATGAGCATTCCCATTTTTCCTGGCTCCTTTGAAAAGAACACACATTCAGATGCAAATTCTACTAGCGTCAGGGTAATAGGGAAGGAGTAGAAATTTTCAAAAGTACAACACAAGACTTCAGACTCTTGCACTCTAATTCAAACAATCTGTCGAGAGCAGTCTATTATTGTTTCTTCCCTTTAATGGAATGGGGAGCAGAAATATCAAGACACAGTGCAAGACTCAGATTCAAACTCTTCTGGAACTCTTTTGAGCAGCATGATCTCATGAGCACTTCAAACTCTCTACAATTGAAATATTCATTGACAAAAATCATAATAGAAGATTAAACAAATCCAAATGACTAACATGTCCAACTAAAATTAGAGAAAATAATGATTATCTCTGTGTCCTATGCTTATCCAATACGTGTAAAATTTTGAGACCACTTTATCTGGTACTTGACTGAATCACATATCTTTGGATGAATGTGTTAGTATTTCTAATGAGAAAAATATTCTTATCTATAATGAGCCAAATAATGAGCTGAAATTCCAAAATTTATTAGATAAATTTATCAGTTTTCCTCTGTTAAGCCTGGATTGGTCTCCAGCTGCCTCCAAGGATATGCTCAGGCAGAGGAACCAGACCTTTAAATTCAATCTTGGTCCGGGTAGGAGCCCTGATTGCACAGTGCTCAACAGTTTGGCTGCTAACCAAAGGGTCTGTGGTTCAAACCCACCACCCGCTCTGTGGGAGAAAGATGTGTAAGTTGGTTTCAGTAAAGACTTACAGCATTAGAAACCCTATGGGGCAGTTCTAATCTGTTTTGTAGGGTCATTATGAGTCAGAATCAACCAAGGCTTTGAACTGGTTCAATGCCCTGCTGAGAGTTTGCATTTCCATCCCAGATATGTTGAATCAGAACCTACATTTTAACAAGATCCCCAGATGATTCTTATTTATACATAAGAATTCTTACTTATACATATAATATCTTATTCATACATAAGAATCATCTGGGAATCTTGTTAAAATGTAGATTCTGACATAGAATCATCTGGGGTTCTTGTTACAAATATAGAATCTGATTCAGTATATCTAGGGTGGAAATGCAAATTCTCAGCAGGGGGTCAAATTGGAAGGAACCGGTTCAAAGCCCTGAAATCGACTGTACAGCAACAGGTTTGGTTTGATTTCGTTTTGATGCAGGCAACTGACCTGACCCAATGTCTCTACAGGGTGGAAAACAAAAAAGTAGCAAATTGTATATTCTTGATCAACATCAAGACTCATTTCCTTGGGAGGCAGAGCCAACATGGTGCCCTAGCAAGATGCATCATGCCGTCCCTCTGAAACAAAAACCCGAAAAACTAAGTACAACTGATACAAACATCAATCCTGGAACCTCAAGCATCAAATGAAGGGATAGAGAACTAGACCAAACACCGAATGGAAGAAGAAACTGAAGGAAAACAGAGAAGGAGGAGAGATATTGAATGGAGGTCCTCTGCCAAGTAACACAACACACCATTTTGGAACACAGTCAGCAATGACCCCAGACAGGGAGTACGGGAGGGGAGCTTCATGGAGCCCCCAACGGGAGACAGAGCACTCGGTAACCAGAGAAACAAGCTTTCCTACCCTTCGTCCTTCTGCCCCATATGCCACCTTCACCCCCTCCCTCAGGGCCACACTGTGCTATCTTGGCTAGAGAGTCACTGGCCTGCTGTCACCCTGGGTCTGCCCTGCCCCTACTCATCAGCCCCCAAAGCCACTATCATTTTGTTTTGTTTCTCTTTTTGCCTTTCTTTTCTTTCTCCCTTCCACCTTCCCCTATATGCCACCTCCCTCCCTTCCTGCTGGCCTCTGCCACACTGCCTCAGATAGAGTGTCACTGGAGCACTGGCCTACCACTGCCCAGGAGCTGCCCTGTACCCACTCACTGGCCCCCACTGTGTTGCCATTTTATTTATTTATTTTCTTTTTTCTTCTTTCTACCTCACACCTACCACCATATGCCACCTTCCTCCATTCCCACTGGCCACCAGGTCTGCCCCACTCCCACCCACCAGCTACTAGTTTCTATTTTTTTCTTCTTTTTCTTTTCTTTCTCCTCCTCACCAAGCCCCATATTCCACCCCCCATTCCCACCAGCCCCTGCCATGCTGTCACTGCTACAGCATCACTGGCACTCAGGCTTGCCTCCACACTGGACCCACACTTTCCCTCCCCAACTGCCACTTGATCAGCTGCTGAATAGTGAGAAGTGAGCCTGTACCACTCCTTGTCCATCATCCCTGCCTTTCTGGCAAGGGGCTATGAATGCTCCCACATGGGTGGACAAACATCAGGAGGCACACAGTGCCTGCCCAGTCCACCCTTAGCTGCCTGGCCAAACCAGTGTAGAGCAAAGTGGGATCACCCTGACTGCTGCTGCCATGCCCACCCAGACAAGGTGGCGAGAGCTATCATGCCCAAAGATGAGCAAGTAGCAAAACACAGCTGGCCTGCCTGCCCTGATATATATTTTTTAAAAAAGAAGAAGCAGGACAATGCAAATGAATACAAAATCAATAAATACAGAAAATAATACCTTAATGTCTTGGTGACAGCAGACAATATCAAAGCCTATTAAAAAACAGGACAAGATGGCTCCAGCAAGTGACAAACATAAAGAATCAGATGACGTTCCCATAGAAGTAGAGGTAGTGGGAAAAATGGCGCTCTAGGCAGAAGCACCACGCCGTCCCTCCACAGCAAAGATCCGAAAAAATAAGCCGAACAGAGAAAACAACAATCCTGAAACCCTAAAACATCAAACGAAGAGATAAAGAACTCAGACAAGCACCAAATGGAGTGTGAAAACTGACAGAGAACGGAGAGTGAGGAGAGATTCATGCAGTGGTCCCCTATCAGCTAAAACAGCACAGATCCTCCATCTTGGACTCCTATCGGAGACCAGCAAACAGAGAGTACAAGAAAGCAGCTTCACGGAGCTTCCAGCGGGGGACAAAACAACCAGTAATTTGTGATATACGCTT